GATCTCGGAGACCTTGCAAGGTTCCGGTGCTCACAGCCGGCAATCCGTCGTATCGGATGAAATCCTGCAAAAACGAATTATTCATACAATCCATACAATCAATGTGCCAAAAGGTGCAGCACTTCACTTCGGCCACCTTAGCCACCAGAAACTACAGGCTCTTTTGTCAACTGATCGGAGCTATGGACTCGACTGCTGCAATTCAACCCACATCGGCGCTCTTCAAGCCTGAGGCTGCTGGCTTTTCTATCTGATGGACGAACACTTCGCTGGAGACACTCTCCGTCTCCTGAGATTGTGAAACGCGAAGAAGCATTGCAGGCCAGTGCAGGTACTTACGGGTACAAGAAAGCTGGCAGCGTACTTAGTCGCCGACCTGAGCGGTCACGAATCCGGCTTTTTTCCTGGCACAGATCGAAGAGCGGTTTGTGACGGAAAACATGGATACTGGGGAGAGGGAGGGAGAGAGAGAGAGAGAGAGCGCGAGTCTGCTTGCAACATGCTGGTTTTTGCAGTCAGCCGTCCTCTTGATGAGCTTCACTTTCCGCGTCTCGGAGTCGTCCAGTTCACAAACCTGTCAGCGGCGGGGTGGTAGACAGCAGTGCGACAGGCCAATCAAGACCGAGGAAATGTAGGATCATGTTGAGCAGAAAACAACATGATAGCGCAAGAAACGCAGCACCAAGTGACGCATCCGACAGTTCAATGCTGCAGCCTGGGGCCTGAAGATCCTTCTGGCAAACCTTCAAATCCTTTGCTCGACTGACTCAACCATGAGAACCTAACTACATGCGGTACAATGTTGCACGCTGCTGCTGGAAACTCGCGACGCCTCTGCGATTTTCGCTCGCAGCTCGGAGACTTTGGTGTTAGACATCAGTTCCACCTTGAACCTGCGGCGAACACACGGGCGACGGGCGACGGATGCATGAGGCGACTTGGAGAAGGCCTCTGTGGAGTCGGGTCCTCCCAGGTACTGAACCTGGCTATGCCGCTTGCACACATAATATACATAATATATACATAGTACAGCGAGAAAACACAGCTGCAGTGTGATGCACGGAGCTGGACTCAGACGACCGACGCACAGTCCCGTGCCACCATCAGCCTCGTAAGTGTCACTGTCAGTGCCTGTGGAGGCCTGAGTTCGGTTCGGCCAACTCTTCCAACATTCACAAAACTTTACAACTTTTGCGTCTGCCATTCATCCCAGACGCTAAGCACCAAGCTTCTCTTCCTTCGGCTTCGGCTTGGGCTTTGGAGGCTCCTTCTTCTCCACTGGTCTCTCCTCCTTCTCAACCTCGTCACAAACGCCACACGCGCGACACCAGTCTGGCTGACCCGGTCACGTGGGCACGGCGTGGCCGGACTTTTGCGTTTGCGGCAGCATCTTCCCAGGCTGCACAGCTGTACACTACGTGACGTGGCAGCGGCCCTTCATTTGGCAGCGGCCCAGGGGCCAGGGGAAGAGAAGGCCGCTTTGCCCGTCCCCGCATCAAACGCTTTGAAATGCAGCTTCCAGCGGAGTGGGCGATGCTGTCTCATTCTGAAGTGCATCCTCCTGGATACGGCTGGAACCCGGCATGTGAAGCAACAGTTCGTGATTAAGACCTTGCAGTCGGCCAGTCGGGCAAGAGTCTGTACAGCACCTCCATACCCAGCCCATCAGCACTGATTTCGTCGCAGCCTTGTCCCTTACTGCAATCCTTGCGGGACGGGGTGCCTCTTCTTGCAAAACGGCTCGAGCTGCGGTTCTCTTGCAAACTCAGACCATCTGCTCGGTTTCGGGCAGGTGGTCTCAATTACCAAAAGCTACTGAAGTACTGAAGAAATACCCTGCTCTTTAAAAGGTATCGGCCCACCCACGCATCGAGCACGGTGTCTCCTGATGTTCAAGCTGCGCTGCACTCCTGACACCCGCCGCAGTGCGCAGAGTCGCACTGGTAGCGTGAGGTTTTTGCCTGGGCCTGGCTATGTACAAAGTCGAGCAGGACAGGCGCCTTCTGGCTTAGTACGCAAGGTCGCAACAGCAAATACAAACGCGAAGCACCAGCCTCTACACGACTCGACCTGGAATGCGCAATATTTAATCTTCGGATGCCTGTCGCTGGCAAGCAACTTATGCAGACGAATAGTCAGTTCATTCTTTACATCATCTGAAGCCAGTCGGCAGCTTTCCGAATCCTCTCACAGCTCGTCTCCCTGGCAAAGTGCACTGAGTACCAGGAAGAGACTCTACTCCGGGGCTGCGGCGACAGGCTTCGGCCTTGGCACGCCGGCTCTGCTCGAATCGGCGATGGATCTTCTCCGCGGTCTTCTGCATGGCCTGCAGCGGTGCCAGCTACGCGGTCTACTGTAGCATGCCCTAGCAGCCCTCAGCAGGACGCGTCATGTTTTTGATTCACAGAAGTACTTCCTGTTCACCAGCGTGGTTTGGCCTTGGTGTTTCGGCTTGACTTCTGCCACTTATTCCAGGAGCGTCCCGCGACATCCGCTGCATCTTCGATATCGTGACCTCGACAAGTCGGAAGCACGCACCGAACACTGAACCACCTTTGGGAGGCTGCCTTCCTGCACGATGCTCGCGTTTCGAGCCCGCGGACGCCGATGGGTCCAGGGCAGGGCCGCCTGATGTGAGCCCAGCCCAAACTTTGGGACAGGAGCCCTTGCCGAAAGCTTCATGAAGGCCTTTAACTGAAACAATCAGAAAAACCATTGCAAGATCTAAAGCCAAAGCCAGCTCTCGTCTTCCTCATGCAGAGCTCAAAACCCGCCATTGCACCAAACAGCTGCCTTGGGAGCCCGCGGCGCGGTGCTTGTGCCTAAGTGCAAGACTTCGACTTAAGATCGTTGAGTGAACGATTGCATTTGAATACGAGGTGCAACAGTCCAACCACTCCCTCACTAACTCCTTCCATTACTCAGGTGCTCGCTCCCTAAACAATCATACACTCGATACCGCGATCAACATGGCGTGGGTCTTTGGCAGCTTGCCACCTTCTTCACACTGAAGCCCTATGAAATCATATGAGCTGCAGGCCTGGAGCGGACCACAGCCACGGAAAGCTCAAGTATCCTAGGCCCTAGGCCCAACTCTTGTAGGCCTTTCCTTCATCCCTCAGTAAGCCTGAGCCGTGCTCTCACTTCTCGCTGCGGGATAACACCGTCCTCGTCTTGCAGCCGCGGAGCCCAGGCGTGCAGCCCAGGTGGGGGCCGCTTGCGGCGAGTCGACAGCCGCCTCGCTGTCCTGGGCCACGAGCTTCGAGTCTAGGCCCTCCCTCGGTAGCCCTTGTCTGAGCTGCCTCGTCAGCAACGTCCACCCAAGAGCACAGCGTCAAGTCGCTGGCCTCAGGGTCCAGAGTGGGCAGCTTGATGAACTTCAAGCTGAAGCTGAGAAACAGGCCATGCTCATCGTCTCCAGGGCATCAAAGGCTGAATTTCCTGCTAACTGCGCCACATGACGAGTTTCAGCGTCCGCGTGGAAGTAACAAGAGAACAGCAGAGCACCGAAAGCCTTGCAAGGAAGGCCACTCCTCCCTCTCCTCTGCAGCAAGTACTGCCACCCAGTACTGCCACTGCTGCCACTTGGTATCAGTATCGCATGTTGCGGAAACAGCAGTTCAAGAGAGGTCTGGCCCTGTCCTCTTTGACAGGCTCGGATGCCACAAAGTCCCAGCCACTCTCATCAAAGTCGTCCTGGACGACTGGACGACAGCCAAGTCAGACCCTTCGGTACTACCCCTCCAGCCTCCTCTTCAGCTTCAGGCGATGCCGTGGTCTGATCCGAGACCTCCGGATCGTGGTCGGACTCGTACCAGAACTCGTGCTCCTGAGTTCTGTGCAGCACTTTACAAAAAAGAATAAAGTGACAGCATGGTTTGACTCAAGCCCAAGTCTCATCAATGCTACTGAGATGAACTCCTCGTTCCAGATCCAGCGATTGCCTTACTTAGGGGCTGGCCGTTCTGCCAGGGTTGGGATACCCTTGGCATGCGCTAAGACATCTACGCACGCCACATCCCAACGAATTACAGTCACGCATGCAAGGAGCTTTCCAGGATGCTTCTGCACCTGCTGGAACTGCAAGTGGTGAGCGTGGCTTGAGAGAAGCGAAACACCGAAACACAACCCTTTGCCCCTCCGATCGAACTGCCTTGAAAGTTCTCTGCCAGCCCCGAAGGCCTTGGTTCCGCCCATTGGCCGATGCGAAGAACGCCGGCACCGCTTGTCGAAGGCCACCTAGACTGGGTCTCTTCTCCACAGTAGCCGCAAACCCATTTCTACAGACACGTCTTACGGACTACTTGATTGACCAATTTCAAGAATTTTCTCACCCACCTCCGGAATATCCATTCCGCACGCGTAGCTGTTGCTGTGCCTCCAGTTTATCCGACTGCGGTTGTGTCAGAGCACGGCACAGCAGTAGAACAGGCTCAACCGAATGGGGCTGATTCAGCAAGCTGACTACCCCGAACATCAGAACCGCAGCGCTGTTGCCTCGGCATGTTCAAGGATCGCAGACCGCGCAAAGGAGAACAGCCGAGAGGCTTTCTTGCTTTGATATCGTCTCGAGCCGAAGTGGCTGGCATGGCAGTTCCATGCACGAGAATTGACGGTCTGTCACGCAACCACAATTGACAATGCGAGATTTCTTGGAGTACAAGGACTTTCACCCTTCATATTCTGACCCTGCAGTCCAACTGTCGGCTCAAGGAGTTTATGCAGGCATGGCGCCGCTGTCTGCCAGGGCGGGGAGCCAAACCTCATATCGCCAGGTACAGCTTTACTTCCGTGGCAACCATGTTACGTTTATTGCCACCGCCAGTGGTTGGGGATGTCAGAGCACTGAGCACTCCGAAAGAAGTATGCAAGAATTGGAGCCACATGCAAGTACAGCCTTAGACTGTGCAAGGCAGTGTATAGTTGCTCGCTTGCTTTTTCGCTCTTTAAGTCATCGTCTCTCTTCACTGAGCCCGATGCGCCACAGGTGGGGTGGCCACACCTAAAGGAGTGGCCTTCGGCGGTGCCTCAAAGCGTCATGGAGTCATGGATGCAACGAAGCGAGTTGGGCTGGTTACACTCGGAACATGCGTCGCATGCGTCGCCTGAGTGACCGGAGCCGGCGGAGGCTGCCCCGTCGGCGCCGGCGCCTCCACGGCACAGGAGCGCCTTCTTGAGGGCCACACGACATCTAAACGTCGAGCATGGCCTTCTTCTCGGGGAAAGGCGCACGCTCCACTGTCACGGACTGGCATACCAAGGAATACCACGTGTTCAACTCATAAACTCTGATCACACTGGGCACCACCGGATCTCCAGTCTCCTGAGCCTGAGCAAGCGGCGGCCTGGGTCTGTAGGGGTGCTTGCGCCGCTGGTGTCGGAAGCGCAGCCTGTGCTGAGAACTGCTGATGTGTCTCTGTAGCTGCTTGACTACTCCGATGTCATTGTCGGCCAAGCTTTGCCGTATTCACTTGGCTGCTGCAGGGCCTCTTTCGCCTTGTTCTTCGCCAAGGGAAGCTTGGATGCATAAGCTATACGGCTCAAATGCATGGAGGCTGCGACCTTGTCCTGGCAGCAAATCAAAACACGTTCACAGGCTTCAAGGGGGCGACAGGGCGTAGCAAGACACATCACAGTTCAGCCGGGAAAGCCTCCACGTCCTTGATGCCGTTTTGAGCCGAGCTGATCCACCTCTTCTAGCGTCCCCTCTAAGCATCTGTCTGAAGCCTATCAGAAGCAAGAACTGCATGACCGGGTCCGGCACGCGGCCATAATAGAAGTACCCTTCTCTGTGGCTTCGATGCCGTACTTAGGCAGGACCTGACATGCTGAGCTAGACAGGATTGCTTTTGCAAACGAGAACCGCAAACAATGGATGTTTGTAATGAAGTGTTCCGCATCGTGCGTACATGCGCCTTTGTGTAGATGGTTGTGTATATACATAGATACATACAAAGATACATACATACATGGGGTGCTGGGATTTTCACGGATCTATGTTCAGGATTGGCGTTGGGATTTTCATGAAGATGCAGGGGTAAAATCGGTAATAGAGACACATGTTTTCAGACAGGTCCGAGAACATCGGGCATTGACGAAGGCACGTTCGGAAACCCTAAACCCTAAAATCCTAATCCCCAAACCCTAAACCCTTTCCGTTGCCTTCAGCAACGGTAAAAATCAACCCGTGACACAGGAACGAAGAGATATCGCTATGCATTTTTTAACATGCCAGGTAAGTGCACATACGTTCGTAGTCCCCTCCCCCCCCCCACCGTTCCCGACCTTTTGCCGTAGGTGTTCCTGAAAATTGCGGTGATAGAGCCGGAAAATTGTCCCGCATCTGCTTGAAAAAGCTCTCCTCTATTCCTGACCCATGGTTGCCAGATTTTCCTAGATTCTGCCCGAAAAAGTTGGCACTCTACATACATGCATGCACTCATGCACATGTTACACATACACATACACATACACACACAATCATACACATGCCCATGCCCATACCCATACTCAGAGTTAGCAAGACTCATACCCATACCCGTCATAAACACATACACATACTTAAGACTATACATACACCGATGCGTATACTTGTACATATACATGTACATATACACATGTCTACATACATGTATGCCTATCCACACATACATACATACATACATACGTACATACATACATACATACATATATATATATGTGAGAGAAACCTTTCTGTATAATGTGTTGCTCTGCATCCGCTGGAGGAAGGTTTGGAAAGTTTAGATAGGGGTTTAGATGGTTTAGCTGGTTTAGCTGGCTTGGGCTAGTCCGGGCAGGCCGGTTAAGATAGTTTAAATAGTTTGGGGGGCCGGGCGGGGAGCCCAAACCACCTAAACCAGCTAGACCGTCTAAACCAGGCCGGGCGGGGAGCCCAAACCACCTAAACCAGCTACACCGTCTAAACCAGGTGGGTTTAGATGGTTTAGCTGGTTTGGGCTAGTCCGGGCATGCCGGTTTAGATAGTTCAGATGGTTTGGGGGGCTTGGCGGGGAGCTTGGGAATTCAGCTGCTTTGATTTTCGGGTTGAGGTTGTAAGGTTCAGACCCCACGAACTCAACCCCAAATCCAACACCTCAAACGCCAAACCCCGTAGTCGTTGATGTCGTCGTCGTCGTCTTCGTAATCGCAGTCGTAGTTGTCATAATAATGATGATAATAGGCTGTGGTTTGTAGACCAGTTTTAGTAATAGCAAAAAGAACAGCAACACACTGTACGTAAAGGTTCCTGCCACATGTGTATATATATATACATATATATATATGTATATATATATATATATGCTCGGCCCCACAAGATCCACGCCATCGTGGTTCTTGGGGCATGGAGCGCACGAAACACTGTAATGCTCAAAAAATCCAAAATTTCCAAACCTGAAACTCACGAAACACTGTAGCGCTCAAACATGCCAAAAGTTCCAAAATTCTGGCATCTATGGCCAGGCCGGGTGCAAATTCTTCAAATGTTGAATGTTTTGAGCATTACAGTGTTTCGTGAGCTTGGAGGCTGCAAAAAGTTGTTTTTTTTGAGCATTACAGTGTTCCGTGGCCTGAAATCCTGAACATCACAAACCACTGTAATGCTCAAAAAACCCCACTTTCTACAGCCTCAAAGATCACATTTTTTGGGCATCACAGTGCTTCGTGGTCGAAAACTTACAAAACACTGTAATGCTCAAAAACATCCAAAATTTCCAAACCTGAAACTCACGAAACACTGTACTGCTCAAAAATTCAAAAAATTCCAAAATTCTGGCATCTATGGCCAGGCCGTGGGCAAATTCTTTTAAATTTTGGAATGCCTTGAGCATTACAGCGTTTCGTGAGCTTGGAGTCTGTAAAATGGTGAGTTTTTTGAGCATTACAGTGTTTCGTGGCCTGAACATCACAAAACACTGTAATGCTCAAAAAATTTCCATTTTTCACAGCCTCAAAGCTCACCTTTTTTTGAGCATGGCATTGTTTCGTGATCCTAAACTCACAAAACACTGTAATGCTCAACAAAAACTAACTTTTCAAAGCCTCAAAGCTTACAAAACACTCTAATGCTCAAAAATTCCCAACTTTTCAGGAATCTGACCCTGACCTGGCCATAGATGCAAGAATTTTGGAATTTCTGGAATTTTTTGAGCATTACAGTGTTTCGTGAGTTTCAGGTTTGGACATTTTTTATTTTTTTGAGCATTACAGTGTTTCGTAGCCTGATCCTCACAAAACACTGTAATGCTCAAAAAACATCCACTTTTCACAGACTCAAAGCTCGCTTTTTTTTGCATAGCAGTGTTTCGTGGTCTGAAACTTCCAAAACACTGCAATGTTCAAAAAGATCCACTTTTCACAGCCTCAAAGCACTCTCAAAGCTCACGTTTTCGAGCATAGCAGTGTTTCGTGATTTTCGTGGTCTAAAACTCACAAAACACTGCAATGCTCAAAAAAACCAACTTTTCAAAGCCTCAAAGCTTAGAAACACTGCAATGCTGAAAAATTCCAAATTTCTAAGGAATCTGCCCCTGACTTGGCCATAAATGCCAGAATTTTGGAAATCTTCGGAGTTTTTGGAGCATTACAGTGTTTCGTGAGTTTCAGGGTTGGAAATTTTGGAATTTTTTGAGCATTACAGTGTTTTCTGATGTCTAGGACAGGATATAATGATATACTGTATCACAAGATAACTGTGTGCTTTCTGGTTTGATAAGTATGAGCAAGGCCAGCCTAGTCGTTCCGTAGTTTATTTCATGTATGTTTTCCGAAGTTGGTAGACCTATGGCGGCAGCAGCACTGGCTCTAGTACCTGAGCTTTCTCGAAAATGGCTTTGGCCCTTCTTCGGCGAGCTGCACCGCCTACAGATCCAACACTGTAATCATGAATGCAGCTTAAGTGCTAGAGCAGCGCAAGCCCATCTAGAACTTATTTCTTTTCATGTTGAAGACTGTAGGAAACTGCTTGCATTTTGCTATTATCAGAAACAATGGAGACTTCCTATTTGGTTTCCTACGAAACATGAGTTTTCATTCAGTTAACTCTTATTGATGCTGTTTTATACTCCGGGGAAGATACGGATCGCTGTGTCCATGGCTGTTTCTGTAATTGCTGTCATAGAACGTAACGCAAAAAAAGTAGTTCGCTTCAATCTTCAAGCGACACTCCCTAGATGTGATCAGCAGACAAAGACAATCTTGTTTACTGGTATCTTGTATTAAACGGGCAAGAGGCGTGAAACTTCTATCGGTTTCTATTGAAACCACCTCCCTCACATCTTGGCCTTTGTCTATGACTTGGTTCAGACGCTGTCATAGTTCGTATCACAACATGAAAAGGAGCTCTCTTCAGTCTTCAAAAACAAAAAGTGACATCGTATATTTTTCTTCTAACGCGCCCGTATATTCGACTTCCTTCATGTACAATGGACAGGACATGAAAGGAGCTCTTTGTATTTCGTAACTCATAAATCAAATGCTAGAGCGATTAGGCCGTATCAGAATCGGATGCTTCACGAGCAGCGGGAAAGAGATGGCCCACGCACCCAGACGTCTTCGTAAGCGAGACAACAGTATTTTGATGATTAGAGGAATGTTGTTAAATAACACACCAAGAAATAACACAAGAACACGAGGCTTTTCAGTACTACATGCACAAAACTAGCACGCCCTCCAGCATTTCAGCTTCTCCAACACATAAACTCGCGGCCGAGATTCGGCGCCAGATTTTTACACGTATCAAACCCGCGCTTTGCAGCAGCACGGTTTGCTGCATTCACATGAGGTAAAGCACGATTGTATCGGTATTTACGGTGTTTTCGGTATATATGAGTTGTCGACCAATGTAGAGAAGCAACCTGTGGAATTGTGCGGAAGAGGCAGGTGTGGATCTTGGAGGGGGTGACCATATATATGCATAAGGTGTGTGTGTGTGTGTTGTGTGTGTGTTGTGTGTGTTGTGTGTGTTGTGTGTGTTGTGTGTGTTGTGTGTGTTGTGTTTATTGTGTGTTGTGTGTTGTGTGTGTGTGTGTTTGTGTGTTGGGGTATTCACAATATGTTTTATGTTTTGATTACACTTACGTTTAGATTTGGCACGCTATGTATTCCGCTTACCCCTCCCCTCTGAGGGATCCGCCGCCGTCGCGTTTGTGAACCACGCAAGTATCAAATGAAGTGCAGGCAGTGTGTATGTGGATGCGTCACGCGATGATACAGCAGGGAAGGGATGTACGCCTACGCCTACCTCCCTACCGACCTCATCCTCTACATCTGTCTCGCTGACCAGGTGCCTCTACAGACAACGACAGAGGAAGCTACGGATGTGGTTCACAGTCGTTCAACGTTTGATGTTCGCACGTAGCTCAAGCATTGCTTCAGCACTATGTGATTGATAATTAAGACTACTAACGCCGGCTGGGCTGAATGGAGGACTCAGGATCGGGCATATCATTCAGTACCATTTAGTCATAAACAACAATGGGTTGAGACAGCTGATACATTACACATCAGCGCATGCTAGACACGCTTTAAACACAGAGTAAGTGTGACACCAGTTATCCAAGCAGCAACGACATGCAACGAACATGACATAACAGCATACCATCCTGAAGGGATGTTGGGTATGCATCAACTAAAGTGAGCTTGACAGTGAGATGATATGGAACTGATTAATTGAATGGGAGGTGTTTGCTAATGCATTTGGTTATTAGGCATAACGGCATAACTTGCGTCTGGGCATTCATATTGAAAGCGAGGTTATGACTGTGATATGCATGCGGCGCGATAGTCCAGCTATCCATTCACTTCAACGTGTGCAGAAGCTCTAGGGGCTTCATCCGCGCAACCCTTTAGGAACCTTACGCAGCTGTGATCGGGGGTTTTACGCTTTCCTTGCATCGATCTGCCTGTCTCCTCTTCAAGAGCGCCCCTTCAAAGGCGAACCACGGGGGCAAAAATTAGCAAGCCTAGCCTACACTCCCTTGAAATCTGTGGTCCTGTCTCCCGGCCTCCTGTGAGAGACTTGTTTTGGTCTGTGGTGCGAAGGCAGTTCCATCGTCTTTTTTGAGACTTCGCATCCTTATGCCATCCTCTCAAACACAACCCCTTCCTGTAACAGTCTACTGTATCTGTAACATTTTACAATATTACAAACAAAATCGTATTACGGCAACTAGCTAGCTAGCTAGGTTCTCACTCTATGTGGCATAGCTGCTGTAGCATATTCAGATGGCTCAAGTTTTCTTAGCATATCATCTTAAAAGGTAGCACCTTAGATCCAGTTCGCGAGTAAGTCGAATTTGATATGGTGTGTATCCGAGTACGGCTTGAGCAGACCTTGTAAAGATTAGCTTGGTTCAAGGCCAATGCTGGTATGGTCAATGAAGGCCCGACCATCCAAGCACTACCAAAATACAGAACTGGCTGGTTAAGCAGCACATATCAAATACAGCTTGTCAAGTTTGCACGACATGCAAACACGTTAAGCTGCTTTATTAAGCTATTGCCACGAGACAGATCCGTAAACACGTTCTTGGCCAACGAGCGGAGTTAAAACGTCCGCGTCCAAACACTATTGACATTGTTTCATGATCGTGTTGACTGGTTTATTTGCTGGTGCGAGATTGAGAAACAGGCTGTTTGATTGTTCGAGAAGCAATACTGGAACAGTTGCAGGCACAACATGTGTTGTCTTGTCTGGGCCTGATGTCTGCAATTGACTGCGCATCTCGGGTGCTAATGTTCAAGTCTTCAGAATGCCAAGCTATGCAAAGTGTGGCTGCTGCATCTTCAGCAACAAACACTTCGAGAATGTGTATTTCTGTTGCAACGCCGAAGTGCAGCTATAGCAAATAAATTCACTCAGATGACAAGATGCCTTTTCCACTTCACCCAAAGGATTACATTTGGCGCTTCCCCGAACAGAGTGGTACAATGTGGTACACGCGGTTCTAACTTCGAAATGTAAGAAGTTTCGGTCAGAGACACCGCGGCACGTGCACATAGGGCGCGCTCGTGTCCCATTTTCCTGTGGCCGTCGTCCACGGAGAGCCAAGTTCAAAATATTCCAGTACACGTAATTGGAGCGCGTAATTACAGGATGTGCTTCTCTGCTTTTTGTTCTGGGGCACCTTGTAGTTTTGTTTGAAGTTTACGTTACTACTTCCTCGAGATATAGAAGAAAACATAACTGCGCGTATAAACGTACTCATTTACTCACTTGAACGTATATTCGTGTGCCTATCTGTCTGTTCTTACTTGCTATCGTTCTGATACATTCCCGTGATACATTCCACGGCTCAAGGTGCGAAAGCGTTTGCGTGCCCACCTCGAACTGGACGTTCCGCGTCTCCTTCCTCGGCTGAGGCGGCGCAGCATCTTGTAGTGCAGCAGCCAAGAAGACTCACTCTTCCAATTCAAGTTGGACACAGTCACATACCGTACTGAATTTCGTTGAAGGTCAGTAAACTTCGACGATCCTCACAGCCTTCAGCCGCCTTCTGGTACCTGGCACAGAAGCTGCTGTCCCGTTACATCTGGAACGGTGCGTGCTGGCCTAGTCAAAAAACTGCACAGGGCTGCGTTGTTCTAATGGTGCTGCAAGCCATTTCACACGAATAGACACACAGAACAATGAAACACCATGGCCTTGCGAGACTAGTCATGTCTCTGTGCTCTGGAGTCGATACCCTTCGTGATTCAAGTTGCTTCATGCTTTCTCATCGTTCTCGTGAAAAGCAGCCTGACCGGATGGAAATGCAACTGAACCGCTGCACAAGCATACCCCCCCCCCCGATTCCCCCCGTCCTTCATGTTAAACGGTTTGCCCCGAACCACTTTCGATTCGTCGGCATGCTTCAGAGCCCTCCTTTGAGGCCCTGCATAGCTTGGGATGGCAACAGTGCCGATCGCGTTGCTCTGCGCAGCTTCACATCAAAACGACAAGAAGAGGCGGCACAGGGTGTGACGACTTCTCAGAGTCCAAATTCCCGGCGTGCACGTCTACCCACGATGTGCTGCTCCAATCTTTGCAGGTGGTCATCAGCCAACAGGCCGGCATCTTATTGGTCAGAATCATCAGATCAGCATAAGAACATACAAGTGGCCCTGCGCAGTGAGGCAAGCCTGTATTCGGCCTGCATGGCAGCGGGCTAGTGATAAAAAGTCCTTAAAAGCAACGTCACTGGCTCTCGTGTCTCTCAGCGAGCCCACGCACGGCTAGTGCGAATCCGGCCACGAAGGGTCTGCGGCAGAGAGGACAGCGGGATAGTCGTGCAATGCACTGCCTCACCCCATTCTTTCCCATCTCGCCTGGTAGCTCTCTTTGGCCTCGGTCCGCTGCGGCAGAAAGGGCGGGTCCGGCAAGATTCCAGGGGCATCCTGCTCGCCAGCTGCACAACACACACACACGGATATTAAACAGATATAAACATAAATATAGATATATTTGTATATATAGATATACATATATATATATATATATAGATTATGAACATGTACACATATGCCGAGCTGCCGATTTCGGCAAACCTGCTGTGACCAAACTACACTCTCTCCTCTGCGCGAGCGGAGTCTGTGCTGCAGAGGCTGTCCTTCCAGACATCAGTCCCTGCCAACTTCTTCGATGCTTCCCAGCAGCTTGGAGAACGGAAAGTACTCTGCACAGGCCTCTTGGAGGACGGGCAGGTTGCGGCGGAGACCAAACGACATCGGCCGGCCACCTTGGTTCGAAGGGTCTGCCCATGTGACAAGCATACGACACAGCTCCCGAGCTCGCCGCCCTGAGAAGTTTGCATTGCCTGCACCACCGGCACCCTGGGCAGCCAAGTTGTGATCGGAAAACTCCACACTAGTCACTAGGTTTGAATCTGGCACAGTGCCTGCGGCAGCACCGTGCCAGCATGCTCCCACAAGACAGAGGGTGGCGAAGCTCCCTTGGATGTGCCTCAAGGCTCGGAGTTGGAGAGAGCTCTTAGTCTCGAGTTTTGGGAAAGAGACGACCCAACCAGCCGGTCTGCTCGTCCTGGAAGGCTGCCAAAGCCTTCGGAATGGATCCCACTGGGTGGCGCGTGCTCTGCTCAACACTCACTTTCTTGTGAGTCTGCTTTGCACTCTGATGCCTGCTCCAGCAGCCGCAGATGCTCCGGCACCTCTGGTGCTGCCTGCCGCAGGTGGTGCGACTCGACTCCGGCAAGAACTACTGGGCACGTCATGCTTCTGCTGCAGGTGGCAAAGCCAAACAGACCAGGCCTCCGTAGTGTCAGGACGTATTGTGGAGTCCTACAACCGATTGAATGAAACCCTTACTGATGTCAAGAGACAGCCGGCAGGAAAGGTTCCTCGTCCACCCTTGACGACCGTAGCAGTGGCGTACAAGGCTCCAGGCCCTGCGCCTGTCACAGGACTTTGCAAAACCTTCTGGAACCTGCTGGGATGTCGCAATGACTTGCAGTGCATTTCTGCTGCGTGCCTTGCTCCGACAGGAATCGATCTCCGATGCGATCCGGCACAACCTCAAAATCGGTGAGACCAAGTTATCGGCGATGAAATCCAGATTCTGTTGCTTTTGAAGCCCTTAAGCCACTTTAGCCAAGAAAGCATTTGCAACCAGTACTAAGTGCTACTCATAACCAAGCTCCTTGGAGCTTTTCGCCTTGAGCGGCTCGAGCTTTGCGCATGTGCCACGGCTGGTCGAGAAGTGTCAAACCAAGACGGGAGTGGCGACGTAGCGGAGATCGGCTGGCACACTGTGGCGCACTGGTGGCGTGTTCTGCACAGCTCTCCGGACTTTCGAGCAGCTGGGAAGCTCTCAGCGCAGTGCTTCAGAGTGACATTTGCCGGTCGCTCGAGCTCGCACACCACCTGCGAGCGCGCTGGAAGATTGGGGCCCTGCCACGGATGACCCAAGCCCGTTTTGAGGAGCCGACACGTTGACCTGACAATGCAGCAAATCGCCAGCGCCGCCAACCCTGCAACTTGCACGAGCTGCAAACACCATCTGCCTTGCATCCCTGGGCAATGCCGCAGTGCCTTGCGCATGACCTCTGCAACAGACATTCCTCGCAAACCCTGGCTCCTGCGAGGTCGCAGCGAAGCCCGACATGCGCCTACGATTACCCCAAACCGTCCTGTGAGATGCACGGTCTGCAGTCCGGGACTTGGCACGCCTCACCGGACGCCTTCGAGACATCGCCTCCAAAGGCTGCTGCACTGCTCTTACACATCAAGCCAAAACCTGCTAAAGCCGCGTTCCTCGTCGTCTGCAGCATGCTGGAAGCCAGAAAGGGCCTGCACTGTGTGTGATGGCTTGGCCCCTGCCAGTAACCACGGGTTTGGCACGGCCTTTCTTTGCAGCACTGCCACATAGTGTCGGAAAGCCTGGCGTGGACCCCGCAACTCGACTGAATTCCAGCAGGCTCCTTTGCCAAGTTCCTTGCGATCATATTCTGAGAACGTTGACGCAAAAGGACCTCGACGAGTAGATTCGAATGCGAATTGTGCCAGCACCGTTGCACACATGTCTCAAGGGGAGGGCATGCTGTCGTTTCAAAAAACCGACCATGCAATAGAAAGAAGGTCTGCATCTGCGAGGATTGGGAGAGCGTTTGTTCCCTCCGAACTGTCACTTCTTGTCATCCGTGTTGATTTCCGACTTAGACGGAAACAAGCATATAATGCAAACGCTGCCTCCTGAAGGCCGTTGATATTACCATTGCGTTTCTTGCTGCACAAAAACACATGCGAACAGCACGATTGACTTTTGTATTTTGTTGGGCGCCCCTCAGCCAGACACTGACTAAGGGAGTTGCGGCACTCTTGCCATGGTTCCAGATTTCTGTATGTCATGTAAATTTGTGTGTGTGTGTGCACACACCTGAACCTGGTGATCAGTAACACGGTTATTGCAAGGCATTCACAAGGGACCACTGGCGAGGAGTGAGGACATCATCAGTTCGTTTATAGTTCATCTCACGTTCGTTTCGTTCGTGTCTCATAAGGTGGGGGGCAGGACCCACACCCTCGCAGATCATTGTCTAGCTGGACGGGTGTCCATTCTGTTGTCTCGCATATCTTTGGAACCAAATTTCCACTCACCCTCAGTTGCACATGGTCGGCTAAACCCTTGCCCAACATTTTAGCATGCGTGTGCGTGTGCGTGTGCGTGTGCGTGTGCGTGTGCGTGTGCGTGTGCGTGTGCGTGTGTGTGTGTGTGTGTGTGTGTGTGTGTGTGTGTGTGTGTGTGTGTGTGTGTGTGTGTGTGTGTGTGTGTGTGTGTGTGTGTGTGTGTGTGTGTGTGTGTGTGTGTGTGTGTGTGTGTGTGTGTGTGGTGGTGTGTGTGTGTGTGTGTGTGTGTGTGTGTGTGTGTGTGTGTGTGTGTGTGTGTGTGTGTGTGTGTGTGTGTGTGTGTGTGTGTGTGTGTGTGTGTGTGTGTGTGTGTGTGTGTGTGTGTGTGTGTGTGTGCTTGTGTGTTGTGTTTGTGTGTGTGTGTGTGTGCGTGTCTGTCTGTCTGTCTGTCTGTCTGTCTGTCTGTCTGTCTGTCTGTCTGTCTGTCTGTCTGTCTGTGTCTGTCTGCGTCTGTGTCTGTATCTGTCTCTATCTTTGTTTATGTTTCTGTCTCTACCTCTATTCGTGATTGTCGGTGACTGTGTCTGTGCCTGCCTCTATGTATGCGCATAAGCCGCTAAATATGTCGATATCCTACGGATTGACTGCACAGCTGCTCTGTGCATGCACGTGGTAAGATCGGCAGTGTCTTGAGGTACAGGTGAGAACAACATCTGCAAGAAAGTCATTGACAAATACCGGCGGCATCATAGTCGCAGTCGCCCACCACAGCAACAGAAAGTGCAAGCACAGACGGAATCAAAACGAAAGAAAACCTGACCATGTCAAGGACAGGTTAGACTACGGTCGACTGCGTAAGAGCCAAACAAGAAGTGCAGCCTTCCGCCGCTGCTCTGCGAGCTCCTGCGTGGACCGAGAATTCCAACTGCTGTATACGCTCAATGCGAGTTGCAGCACAGGCCGGGCTTGCCAAACACAAATTTGTGAGCGATATGCGGTGTGACAGTTCTTCCGGTCCTCCCTGCCGAGGTCCATCCGAACTGCACGCCACCATCGAAGAAATCCCTCCTCAAACTCGTGAGGTACGAGGACGCCTAGCCTAGCATGCTTAGATCACTCCGCAGATATCTGCAGTCCTGTTGTACTCGGAGCAGCACGCTCCGCGGTTGGCTTGCCGCTGGCTCTGGCGGGCCTGGCACCTGTGTCAGGCAAGCTTATATAACCTAAAAGCAGCAGCGGCCATCGATCCTGTCCGGAAACCGAAAAAGACGAGCGATACCAATTTAGATTTCTGTGAGGCAGTGTCCTGATGCTTCAACAGCTGCTCAATCCAGCTGGCATCACATGCTACTACAACCGTGTTTGCAGTGCGCCAGCGCAAGAACTATGCAATGCCTCCTGAACGTCAGAAAGGCAACCATCCCCCCTGAATACAGTCAAACCGTGTGGTACCCGACCTGTTTGGAGTAGGCGTCTCGCCTCAACGTGCCCCCGCTTACAATGGCTCCCATATGTAAGGATGAACGATGTACATTGCCTGCTGCGACGGGTCCTGTGTTTCCTCCTCCTAGCTGCTGATCAGCTGCTACTCGTACACCTCCACCCAGATTGTCATGACGGTGACGTATCAGCAAAGCCAACACAAAAACAGCGCGAGCAGGCACAAGCCTCTGGTAAATCACATGCCGAGAAAACGACATTGGTTGTTCGGAGTGGGGAGCAAAATCACTACCTTGCACTGCTTGGCATTGAAGGCTCATATTTGCACTCGCACTCATCGACTCCTCAAGTAAACTACCCGCATCTTACACTAATTAGATTACCGCTTCTACAACCACTACGACTACCAGTTCCACTGCCACAGACACGACTACTTTACTACTACTACTACTACTACTACTACTACTACTACTACTACTACTACTACTACTACTACTACTACTACTACTACTACTACTACTTCCTCCTGCTGCTGCTGCTGCTGCTGCTATTGTTAAGGCTACTGCTACTACTACTACGACGACTCGACTACTACTTCTACGACTAGACTACTACGACTACTACGACTACGACTACTACGACTACTACGACGACGACAAACTACTACTACGACTACTTGACGATAACGGCTACCATGACATCGACCACATGCACGACCGACCGCTGTCGATGATGTCTCAGTGCACGATGATTGTGGGACAAACCAAGGGTCCGGGAGACATTGCACCGGATCTCAACCAGCGCCCAGCTTTGCAACTAAACCGTCCGAGCAGCGAATGAGGCAGACTGGAACTTTGCCAAGTCTCTGCCTGCACGGCTGTTCTTTCAACCCTTCTTAGAGCATGTTGCTGAGGCCATGGTGAAGCTTGGTGTTGCTTGCCACGGGTACAAGCCTGACGCAGCGCGTTGAACTTGTGCCTTCCCACAAAGGCAGTGTCGGCGTTTCCGCCGGGCGCCTGTATCTTGCGGAAATGCACGTGTCTGAAGTATTCCTTAGTCTAAGCATATCAAATGAAATGTTCTCCATGTTGCCGAGTTTAGACGATTTGCTGGGCTTTGCAAACGGCTTTAGACATCATGCAAGCTGTAACTCGCTGAAAGCGTGGGCCACAAACCATGCCGCACGTCACGTCCTTCGTCACGTTATGTCGTGTTCGTGCTTTGACTCATCTATTTTCACTTGTTTGTCTGAAGACCCGTTTCAAGTTGGCAGGTGCCCAGGCCGTGACCCCGGCGAGGCGACAGCGAAAGGTCTCATCCCACTCTGGCCAGCAGCAAAATGGGGGGAAACCGGGGCCGCCCGGCCAAGCACCAGTGCCAGCGGATCCCCCTTGTTTTCAAAACAATGTCAAGCCTCTCACCAAACAACGGACGTGCGCCTTCCCATGGCTTAGGCTTAGCCAATGCATACATCATCTCGGCTGACGGGAACCATCTACAATTGCACATCGAATCCTCTTCAGGGTAGGCGAGAAGGTACTAGCAGGGCAGCAAGACGACCAGAGTATCAGCAACCAGTCAGGCCGACGTAAAACTCTTTGGACTCAGCTGTCACGCGAGCAGTCTTTTTGACCGACGCAGCGGTCATGATCAGCGCGCCGTGGACGTACCACAGCACAGGTGAAAAGCCACGGGGCCTTAAAAGGCCGGCGGACTCCTGGCGAAAAGGCCCTGGAACTCACCCGCGGGTGGTAGGGCACTGGTGAAACTGCACCGTGGTGCGCCTCCCCTTTCTCCACCGTTGTGCGGGGAGGGCACGGGCGGGGAAAAGCCAGAGCGGCTGCGCGCGTCATGGCGTCCAAAGTAAATGTCATGCTACGTGCGCGCCGCAGGTGCTCCTAACACATGACAACGGCCCATTGGACTCAACTGTCACGCGAGCACTCTTTTTGACCGAGGCAGCGGTCATGATCAGCGCGCCGTGGACGTACCACAGCACAGGTGAAAAGCCAGGAGGCCTTAGAAGGCCCGAGGACTCCTGTTAAAAGGCCCTGGAACTCACCCGCGGGTGGTATATAGGGCACTATAGTGAAACTGCACCGCGGCGCGCCTCCCAACTCCGAAGCGCTCCCCAGTTTAAGACCAGCGGACCAGTTGCCGTCCTCGCGCAGCGCTACCCTCTAAAGAGAAGGGTTGTGCACTGGCTTATAAAGTACGGGAGGCGGGGGAGGGAGGAAACAGTGACCTGTTGCTGCACCAGCAATGCGCGGGCCTCATCCAAGTAAATGCGGCAGGTTTCTGATCTGCCCATCTTCCCATGAGCATCGTTGCTTCAAGATTTCGGCAGTTTTGCCAATGATAGGTGGCGCCCCCATGGCGAAGGCCGTAAGGGAAGAAGGTGCCTTCCACCTGGCCCAAGAAGACAGCGAGCTTCTGGAATCTGGCCCGAAAAGTGTGAAGACGAGTCGATAATGGGAAGATCGGGGACCCACGGTGCCATTGCTTTGGGAAGCACTTGACACAAAAAGGGGTCGTACAAAGAAAGACTTTGAGCTCTGCCCCGACTCGTCTTGGTGTGTGGCACGGCCACTACCACATGGCCTGTGTTGAGGCAAGCCACGTCCCTGGGCCACAGCCCGTAAATTTCAGCAGTACGAAGGAAAAAGGGAAACTGTATGAGCAGAGCGATGGCAAGTCGCCTCTGGCCCGAAGCTGGGGCAGCTCCAGCCATGCCCTGCACCAGCACCCAAGGCACCGTAGCCCGGCAGGGCTTGTAAACTTTGGTCCAATTTTTATACAGCTGCGTCGCCGTACAGAGTCTCGACCGCATTCGGGGGAGAAACCTTCTGAGAGCCGAAACGGCGGCTCCCGCATACCCCGGTGAGTCTCCTTCTTTTCATAAAATCCTCCAGAGCTGACGGAAAAGGAAAGCAAAAAAGCGAAGGAGGGCGCGACAGTAGTTGGCTTTGGATTTGGCGTTTCAGCCCTTGGAACCTAAGATGGAGCTTAGGAGCCATGGTGTGGAGCAAACCTTCTGGACGCAGTGTCAGCGAAGTTCCACGCTGAGATGGTCCAGAGTGCAAGGTTTGCAGCTGCCCCCCGAGCTGAAACGCCATCATCCTTCTCGCCAACCGGTTGAGTCGCCTGCTGCTCGCCCTTCCTTTTGCCGCGTCATGATATGGTACACCACCTGTGGGTGCCCATCTGCCGCGCACGGCGTCGGATCTCTGACAAAGCTGCCAGCATCTCCAGGGTGGGGATGTTGTCTTCGTTTTGCCAGGCGAAGGCCAATGTGTTGCGCCACCTCCAGAGATGCGCCGGGTAACCCTTTTGAAGTTATCTGGCTCCCCCGGAGCCATCAACCCGGCTGAGCGCTGCAGATGCTCCTGCGGGTTCTCCAAAATCTCCTTTGCCAAGGGTGCAATTACTTCAGCAGCCGCCTCCGCCTCAGCGGGTGACCTTAGGCTCGCTGTTGCACCTCTGAGTTGGGCCATGAGCTGCCACTCCATGGTCCTGTCTGTGAGCTTCCCGGAAATAAGAAGACAAATGTCCTCCAAATCCCCCTTGATCGCTTGTGCCAGGGCGTCACAAAATCTGGCGGGAAGCTGAGCTCTTCGCAACACGCGAACGTGATGCGCCCGGCCCGATCGTACCAAGCCTGTCCCTTCTCATGCCTCTGGCAGTCTTCCTTGTGAAGGGCTTTGTGGACGGCCGGTGAGTTGTGGAGTAGCCCAACCCCACCGAAGCCGCAGAGGCCTCCAGCTCCTCATCGTCCCATTCCTCCTCCTGTCCTGGGCTTTGCTGCTCGGCCTCAGCCGGTTCTTTCTTGCACGTTGCCGGCCCACTCCCCTCCATGCGGTCGTCTTCCTTCTCTTCTTCTTCGGTGGGCCCGTCCTCCTCATCATTCTCTTCCCCTCCGTCCGGGTCATCAGGAGGGTCATCGCCTGACCTCTCCTTTTTGGGCTCTCGCTTGGCACCTTTTCCAGAAGAAGGGCGGGCTTCAGGGCTTTTCCCTTCTCCGCCGCAGCGGGCTTCACATCTTGCCCTTCTTGCCCTTATCTCCCTTCTTTCCTTCGCCCTTCTTGCCCTTCTCCTCCTGGGTGGAGAGCTGGAGCGGAGGTGGCTCGCTGCCGTCGTCGGTGCGGCCCTTCCCTTGCCCCCAGGTCGTCGTGGAGTGCTGCCTCGGTGGCCTTGACTCTCTGGGCGAGGATGTCTGCGGCTCGCCGCTTGTCCCCTTCCACCACCAAGTCCAGCGCCTTGCAGAAAGTCTTGAGTTCGCGAAGCTGGCGTATCCCAGCTTCGTCCGGAACTCTGGCGCCAGGATCGTCAGCAGGTAGCTGGAGGCAACCGGCGGAGCCGGATGCCCTTTGGCTGCACAGTTCATCGCCCCCCCCGCCCCTTCAAGCAGCATTCGCATCTTCTGCAGAAGACGAGCCGACAACCACCCCGGATACTTCTTTGAGTACTCCAGGAGCTGCAGCTGCCGGTCGCGGGACGAGGAGGCTTCGCGAAAAGACGAATCCGAAGAAAGGCTACCTTGACTCCGTCAGCCTTGCGGCCCCTTCTTTCCCGGGACCTGCTCCTCTTCTTTTTCTTTTTATTTTTCGTCTTCTCACCGGGGCTGAGCCACCGGCGCCGCTTTCTCTCGAGAGCAGCTTCTGTTTCGGCGGCTGCCCCTTTGGGCTTTTCCCGTTCACGGTTCCTTAAGGTGGCGTTCTGGCGACTTGTCTCGCCGTCCTTTCCGCTTATTTCTCCGACCCCGGCTAGGTCGTTGAGTTCTGCGGTGAGCCCTGCTGGAGGGCCTCCAACGCCGGGGGTGCGACCCCAGGAAGGTGCGGCGGGGTCTTTCCCCTCTTCTTTCCTTCCGCTTTGTTCTCAGCTGGTGCAAGTGGCTGACCGCCCAACCGATCTAGCTCCCATTTTAGATCTGCCGCCGCAGCGGGTTGGGACAGCCAAGCTGGCTGCGGAGGGGTCCCCAGCTCCGACAAGGGGATGCTCCTCAGGGACTCAAGGTGGAACTCCATGTCAGGGTGCGCTTTCGATCCCCTGCAGGTGCCAGGGCTCTTGGCACAGACGTGAAAGGAGAACCACCTCTCTATCGTCCAACCACCACTGCAAGTATCCATCGGACACCGCTACAATCGTGGATATCGTGGCTTGGAACCACTCGCCGTAGCGTCTTGGATCTTCCCGCTCCTCAACTCTGACCAGGGCCATCCCCTGAGGGAGCCTGGCAGAGTCCGGGAGCTTCAATTCTAGGTAGTCTCCACGCGCGGCGGGTAGAGCGCTCCATGCGCTGTGATCCTCCCGGGGGACGAACCATGGGCCCGGCATGGCCCCACCTACCGAACTACGCGGTCATGCTGAAAAGCCAGACCGGCAGCGCGCCTCATGACGTCCAAAGTAAATGTCATGCTACGTGCGCGCCACAGGTGCTCCTAACGCATGACAACGGCCAACGACCACACATAGATGCACAGCAAAAATCATTTAACTTTCAACACACCCAAGAATGCAGAATGCGAAGCGGGCTTAGCGGCAGACTGTGTAAATGCATACCATTACCATTTTACGCTGCGCAGCAAAGCAAACCCTCTGCGAACATCAGAAGGTCGGTGGAAGCCTGGCTACGGGCATCGAAGGAGTCGGACAGCACAAAGGGCGAAGAAGGCAGCACGTGCTCGACCTGATGCCAGATGGCCGGGGCCGGTCGCTGCCAACACGTGGTCGCGCGACTGCGGCAGCCGCGGCCTCCGCGGGTTCTCCCGAATGCTCCGGCTCCTGCCTCGCAGCACCGCGATGGGATATGTGGGGATGTGGGGATGTGGGGGCGGGGGTGTGAAACATTGTGGAACACGGCCTCCGCATCCGCATCCCCGCCGACGGGCTCCAGACGACAAAAGCCTCACAGAAGACTCTGCCTCCGAAAGTTCTCATGCATGCCCTCGGTGAAATGAGATTGCGACATGTTGCGACTCATGGGCTGCACCCCGAGTCCCTGACTGAACGAAGTAGAACCTGCACATTCTCAATCCAAGAAGTGACGACATGCGTCAAGCACTTTCGACTCTCCTTTCCTTCCATGCAATGCTACTTAAGCAGGTCGCATGAAGCTCGCCGCCTTTGCAAACCAGCACTGCGCCAAGCAATGCTGCGTCCGTCGATGAATGATCTGCCACGAAGCCGCGAAGCTTCGATCGCCAGTACTCAGCAACGTTCTGGCCTCTAGAAGCGCCGCCCTTGCCGCCTTGCCTCGCCGGAAAAGGACGGGCTGCTGCAACCTGAGATAGCAAAGGAATCAAAGGCCAGCGAATGCACGGACTTCGAATGACGGCGAATGAGCGCGCCGTGCGGACCCCATTGGCCAAGCCAAGCCAAGCCGCCGAACCAAGGCGCGATGCAAGGGAGCCTGCGTTGCCCGGACCTGACAGCACCAGCGAGTGCATCCCATCGTTCACAAACAACACGACCACCAAGGGTGATGCCAAGCACGCAATGGCTCGGCGGCGACGGCCACTTCGACGCTGCCAGCATCGCAATGCCAAACACCGCCTCTTGAGGCAGTTGCGTAGGTGCTCGGTGTTCAGCTCTCAAGGAGACGCAGAGGTCATGTTTGTCTCCTGGCCTTTGGCGTCGCTCATTGTGCCGCTTAGGCCGCTTCCGCAGTGCCTCCGGCCAGGGCAAAGTGGTGCATGGATGGATGGATGGATGGATGGATGGATGGGGAAGTGAAAGAACGGATTGGCCTCCTTCTGCCAACTGAGGAAACTCGAGGCAACGAGGCGCAGCAACCGGAAACGCCTGGCGAGTGCGGCTTTGACTTTGCCTCTGCGAGTGCAGTGCGGCAACAGACACCCACACGTTCGCGGCTGCCGCGGCCTGGCCTCGCCAGCTGAAGGAGCTCGAGCCTCGGACAGCGACTGCACCAAGACGCCACGGCTACGCATCCGAGAGAGTCGGCTCCCTTCCGCTACGCACTTTCCCTTTTCTCGCAGTCTCAGATGCGGGCTCGAGTCCCGGTGCCACCGCCAGCGTTCTGCCTGCCTCGCACGGTCGCTACAAATGCCATCCGCGCCACGCTGCGACACGGCAGGGCAAGCTCCCTGGCCCCGTACCTTCCCGGGCGTTGTCGTGGCCTCCGGCGCCTGAAGCAAAGCACTTTCGGTGCTCAGGATTGCTCGGCATTCAGCATCTCTCAGCTGCAACTCTTTCTGACAAGCCGCAGGGCACCAGGGGCCGACGCTGGAGGCCTCGGGGGTTCCGCTTCGTGGTTTCGCGCGAATGGCGGCACGATGCGGCACGGCTGGGTGACACCCTGTCACCAAGTAGCGAAGGACGACGGGGGTGGCCATGGGAGCTCCGAGCCTGACCACACGGCCACAGTGGCTCTGGGAGACCAAGTGGAACCTTGGAGCGCTCAGCGCTCAGCATGCTCAGCCCAGCCTGAGAGGCTTGAGGCGGTCCAGTCAGCCATGCACATTGCGCCCTGACAGTTCGAGGCGAAGCTCAGAGAATGCCCAGGAGCCACTTCAAAGGCTGTGCAGGCTGGAATTGTTGCAAAGGAGACTTCAGACCCAGTGCGTGCCTTGAAGCTTCAGCCCGTTTCTACGGCTCGCATCATCCTGATCTCGCTACTTCACTCGACTTCCCTCCATGCAGAGCCTGGCACACAAACGTTTAGCCTGCGTCTTTTTCATTGCCTTGTGCAACAACGACATCTTGGCGAACAGCGTCTGACATGTTGCCTGCCGCCCTCCTTGCAATTCGAGCCTGCCTGAGTCCTAACCAAGAATATCGACCTTCCCGTGGGGCCTCATAGGGCCATCAGAGCTGCTTCCCGCAGCTATCATGTAGCTTCAAAGCTGCTGGACTTCGTGTGCTGTTGGACTTGAGGCGAGTCCCTGTCTATCATGGATTTTCTCAGTAGGCCAATGGCTGCAAAAACAAGCCGCTACCTGCACACGCGCACGCGAAAGAGGTTGCGGTTCGAGGTTTGAGCTGGGGTGTCCCCGTGTGCGCAATGCTATTGAGCTATTACACAGCAGTTCCACTGGGGGCTCACTCGGGCTGGCTGAACGCGTGGTTGACCTCGTCCAGGAGCTTGCACACCTGCCCGAGCGTTCAATAGGATTTGGGTTTGCCGCGCAGTGCGCAGGCAGCCGCGCCCAACTGGAAGCTAGACCGCCGTATGCCGAGCACCCAGTGGTCGAAGATCAAAGGATGCAAATCCCCGCGACTATCTTTTGAGGACGGTTGCGCCAGAACGGCGTGCTGTAAGGCTCATGGTCTTTGAAGTGAGGTTGGACCTGCACGCCGACCACAAGCCTGGCTTTCATCACCCTTTGGGTCCCGCTCTTGTGGCGGAAACGGTAGTTCACAGGCACATACTTCGCGCAACACAGCTGTCGTGCTAAATCTGTGATGTGATTCTGCTGCAGCAGATCTTGTTTCCTGTCCTTCTAGACCATAGAGGCAAGTCGACTGCATCATTGTCTGCTGGAGCGGGCCAGGACCATTGCCACCACTGCAGCAGCAATCGCTCCTGCAGCGGCTGCGCCCAAAGCTGCCCCTGTGGCGAAATCAGAGAGCCTCAAAAGCCGCGGCGACACAGGTAACAAGACAAAGACTGAGGAACAAGGCTCCGATTAGGGCCAGCACACAGGCTTGGGCTTTAAGTACGGTGGCAGCTGTGCACGAACCTGACAACACGCAAAGATACGCAAAGCAATGGTTTGTCAAAAACCGTGCAGGCTGATACGAGTATGCGTTGATGCCCAGGCCTGGTCTCCGTTCTTCTCTTGGCCCCACCCCCCGAAGGTCACGAACTCCTTGCAGCGAGGAGAGCACGAAAACTCACTCATCAAGGCCCTTCTCCTCGCCTCAGCGATGGTTGGATGGATGGCGACTGAGGCCTCGCCACGGAGACCAACGCTTCAAGCAACGCACCATGTGGCACGGCTCTGCACACTGCAGCTCTGGAGCTTCGAAGTCCGCACGCGTGGCCCCCATGCGGACAGCCACGGCGAAGCCCTGCATCATCTCGTCCTCGGGTTACAAGCTCATGGAGGCCTTGAATCCAAAGAAGACGTAACAGCTCGTCATTCGTTTGCGCTCGGGACACTTGCAATATGCTGGTTGCTTCTTACTTGGTCACAGCAGCGACAACAACAACATTTCATTCACACGCAGCGGCGGAGGACTGTCTGTGGTGAAACTTATCGTCCACGCTTTGCGAGGGATCGACCTAGTGCCCTGCTTACTACTTGCGCGGTCACTCTTCACGGCAAGCCGTGCCTCAGCGCTGCACTTGCACACGCTCCGCCCCTCAGGGCTGCAAGCTGTGAAGTGGGAAGCGAATGTGTCTTGAGAGTCTTATGCGGCGTTATGATTTCGGCACTAGCTTGAAAGCTAACCGGCTTGGTTGCAATGTATCACTGGCTGATTGGCAGCAGATCATTTTGCACTCAGCTGCTGGGGAGAAACTCCACCAGCTATACACACATGACAAGGGGAGAAACTCATCCGATTGTTGGGGAGAGTCTCCTCCATTCTCCTCCTAAGGGAGCATCTCCGCAAGCGGTCTGGCTCAGGAAGAGGCTGCCATGAGACGATCTTGTCCCTGCTGAGTGTTGCCACTGTTCCCATTTTGGTTTCTGGCTGCTCCATTCCCTCGGCCTCCGCTTCCTCGTCCCCTGCTTTTGCCCCCTCGCTATTGTCCTCTGCCTCGTTGCTGGGGAGTACCTCCACCACGCTGTCGCTTCAGGGGAGAATCTCCACCTGACGGACCTGCGTCTCCCCGTTTAGGGGCAGAGCTCTCATCCATCGATGCTCGCTGGAAGAGCTCTTGCAGAGACATTACTCGAGAGATTGGCTACGTCCTGGGGCTCGTGAGAGACGGCGCTGCGAGCTAGGAAAATGACGTAGCTATTTTCTTGCAGCAGGGGATCTTCGAGGGTACAGGGACTAGGGGGGTGAGAGTCGTCGCCAACATACCAGGCATCTGTTGTGTGCACAGCTGCACGGTAATGACCACTAGTGGGCTCCATTCCTAAGTGAATGATCACTGCCTCAACTGTGTAGGTACAGAAGGAAACTCGGGATGTGTGATCCAGGAAGACAGGGATCAGGACTTGCTGTGGGATTGTGATGCGAGTCTAATCGAGCTAGGAAGATGATGTAGCTATTTTCTTGAAGCAGGGGATCTTCGAGAGTACAGGGACTAGGGGGGTGGGAGTCATCACCAACATACCAGGCATCTGCTGTGCGTACAGCTGCACGGTAATGGCCACTAGTGGACTCCATTCCTAGGTGAATGATCACTGCCTCTACTGTGTAGGTACAGAACGAAACTCGGGATGTGTGGTCCAGGAAGACAGGGATCTGGACTTGCTGTGGGATTGTGATGCGAGTGTGATCCTTAGCTTCACCTGCGAATCTCGGCAAGGCTAAGCACACCTGCTGTGCAGCTTCTATGAGAGCACATGAGCGCTCCTGAGACGACCATGCCACTAGCATGTCCTGTAGGTTGGTCTTGATCGCCGTGGCAAGATGAATGGGGGAGCCCAATTCTTCGTCCACTATCACGCCTTCCGGTACTGAGGCTCTAGTTTCCCACTGTCCAAATCTTGATGCAGAGAGATTCCGAAACACTTGCTGCAGGAACTCAGCAGAGTCGTGCTGGCCTCCGTCAAAGAGCCAGCCCATGGTGAGCTCCGAGAAGACTCTGTGTTCAGGGGTTATTCTCGCAAGCTGACTGATCCGGGATGCCTCTTGAAAAGTCGCCTCTGAAGGATCTGATAGCCAGTGGAGACACTGCAGACCTGAGTTGGCATAGCAGTGGTTGCGAGTATTGGCTAGCAGGAGAAAGCCTTCCAGTCTAAACACGGGGTGAGGAATTCCTGGCGTTGAATCTGAAGGCTTCTTTGTGACTGTCTTCGCCGATGCCGTGGACTTTGCTCGAGTATATTCGCGGGGCTGCTTGCTGAGCTGCTGGCGCGCTACCTCCTGCAGTACGTGCACCTGCAGTAATGGAACGCACTGCTGAGCATGTCTACCCGGGGCATCCACACGAAGTTTGCAGTATCGACAGCTATCTCCTTTGTGGAAGAAGACCTTGAATTGATTGAGTCTTGGTTGGAGAGTTTTCTCCAGCTTGGCCATCACCTCAGGATGCTGCTTGTTTAAATGCTGTTTGGCTCCTTTCTGGCCTACGAGGACCTGACCACAGAGTGCGCAGTGTTCCATCAGGTAATCATGGAACGCCGGATTTCGAGCGGCGCCTTCTGGATTGTCCTGGGCATCAGACTGTAGACTTTCTACGAGTGAGATCCGGTTCTGTGCTTCTAAGGGTAGCTCTTCCTGCTGTCTAAGCAAAAGCTCTACCCTAGGGCAGGTAGATGCTTCGACATGTTTGCGCAGATAAAACACTGTTCGGAATGTTGCTCGACAGGCGATGCAAGTTGCTGACCCTGGCATTGAATGCAAAATAGGATCAAATTTTGGTCCTTTCAGGCACTGCTGAGAATCTGGGTGAGCCTTCTGCAGGTGGCGACGGAGTGCTCCGGTGCCAGAGAGACATGCTCCACATTCACCGCAGGTCAGAAGCCTATCCTCCACATGGTGCGAGGAGAAGTCCGTGGAGAGGCCTTCCAATGCCTGGCTAACTGCCTCTGCACGCAACTTATAGTGTGGGAGAAGCTGGGGATCGGAGTGCTGCTGTCTCTTTATAAACTGGGTCATTCTCTTTTGCAGCTGCTCCTTCACGTGAGGAATCCGTAATCTCCGGAGTAACTCCTGGTTTGATTCCTTCGTTTCCTGGGAGTAACTCCGCAGGACAAATCTGAGTTGGTACATCATGTGTGAATGGAGCTTTTGCAATCCCTGCTGTGTCATCCCCACCACGTGGAGTGCATACAGAGCAGAGGCCCAAGCAGTTATTGTCCAAATCGACAGACGACGTCTGTCTGATAAGACTCGGTGGTTCCGAACTGCATGGGCTACTTCTGACATTGCAAGCTTACTGGATGACAGCCGATGTTTGAGAGTCTTCATTTCATAGTCGTGATAAGAAAGAATGACCCCCAAGTATGGAACCTGATAGCGCAGCGATATCAGCCTGCCCGAGGGGAGTTCAACATACTCCTCTCCCTCGACCTGGCGAAAGAGTTTCTTCCTAATGGTCGAGGCTGAGCCCCCTTGCAGCTGTAGCAGAATTGCTGACTTGGACGGATTGACCTTGAACCCAAGCTCTACCAGCTGATCCAGAAGCAGGTCGCAGTACCCTAGTGCTGTCATGAGGCCGGCCTCAAAGTCGAAATGCGACTGGATCAAGCTATCATCTGCGTACATTGTGAGGAGCTTCACTAGTTCTGCTGGGCTGATTTTCCCAGAGAGCTTCCTAAAGAGAAGCCCTGATGCAAAGGCGAATAAAGAGGGTGCTGCTAGCTTACATCCCTGCTTGATTCCTTGCGTGTGGCTATC